TTTCCTTTTTTGAGACTAGTCTGACGTCTGACTCTGTTGTCCAGTGTGGTGGCATGATCTCTGCTCACTGCAACCTCTGTCTCCCGGGTTCAGGCAATTCTCATGCCTCAGCCTCCTGAGTAGCTGGGATTACAGGCACATGCCACCATGCCTGACTATAAAATTGAGTTCTTATAGTTCAATAAAGTTAATTTCTTATCTCTTTATGCTAGTATTGTAGAATTTTGGGGCAGGTAGTATCTTAGATTCCCTACATTAGCAGTGCTATATAAAAGAGAACTAATGCAAGTCACATATGTAATTTTGAATTTTTTAGTAACCATATTAAAAAAGCAAAAAGAAACAGGTGAAATTATTTTTGATTGTATGTTTTTTAACCTAGTATATCAGAAATACTGTGTCAACATGTAATCAATATGAAATTATTAGAGATAGTTTGCACATTTTTTATATGAAATCCTTGAAATCCATTGTGTATTTTACATTTTAAGTATATCTCAACTCGTGAAATTTTCATTAAAAAATTTGATCTGTATTTAGATTCATAAAAATTGCAGTTAAAAAAGTAGATTCACACTGTTTCAAACATTGTTTTCCAATAAATCGAGTACCAAACAAATCATTTTTCTCCAATATTTGTATCTGTATTGACAAAAATTACTCTTCAGAATAATTGATTTGACTCAGAAGAAGTGCAGCACTGTCAAAATATCCATGCAGGTTAAGTAAGTCCACTAACACTTGTAAAAACTTATTATTATCAACATGAAATTCAAAGGGGCATCATATAAATTGAAAATCAACTAAGTTTATCCATATCAACAAAGCATTTGTTGTATTTTTTTTTCATAGGTTTTGCAGCCAGTTTACACAGTGCTGTGCTGCTGCATGTTAATTCATGTTGAAAAATGTGTACAATCATTGATTTGTATTATAAAAAGCTTCAGTTTTAACATAAATTCTTGTACTTGTCTAGCTAGGTCATAAATAAGCTTTTTCTCTCCTCGGGTCTTCAAATCTAGCTAATTGATATGCATTGTGATATAGGGGTAACAGTGTAAATCACACTGAGATTTCTAAAAATCTATTCCTGGTTTACTCTTTGATTGTTGAATATTGGCAAGCATTTCTTTTGTTTCAAGAAAATCTGAATTAGAGTTACCAGAATTGTAAATCTTTGCAAAACTCTTCCTTGACTCAAGCAACCAACAGTAGCTAATAATGTGGTCATTAAATTCATTGTCTTCTATTTCTTTTAACAGTTCCATAAACTGGTGATGATTTAGAGCATTTGTGCATATGTACTGAACAATTTTGGGGTCTTTTTGAGACAGAGTCTAGCCCTTTCGCCAGACTGGAGTGCACTGGAGTGCAGTGGCGCGATCTCAGCTCACTGCAACCTCCGCCTCCCGGGTTCAAGCCATTCTCCTGCCTCAGACTCCTGAGTAGCTGGAACTACAAGCATGTGCCACCATGCCTAGCTAATTTTTGTATTTTTAGAAGAGATGGGGTTTCACCATATTGGCCAGAATGGTCTTGATCTCTTGACCTTGTGATCCACCCGGCTCGGCCTCCCAAAGTGTTGGGATTACAGGCATAAGCCACCATGCCCAGTCTGAACAATTTTAATAGCTGCCTCCATGATACAGTCTGCCTCAGGGCACAGATATTTGCATTGTGTTTCACACAGCAGAACAAAGTAATCAGAGAAATAAATCCAACAAATACAGATGTTTGAACACTGTGTTGCTGGAAACTGACTTTTTTATATCTAGCTGAAAGTTACACATTTAGAGAATTCAAAAATATCTACAATATAAGATCAGTTTTTAAATTTAAGATTGCAAATAGATGAAGACATTTCTCTGTAAATTTGAAGGTCATTTGAGACAGATATACCTATAGTATTAATTGGGCATTAACTCTTCTAAAATTCATCTAAAGCTAAAAATACTTGTAACTTTTCAAATGCTGACTTAATTGATCTTTAGTATTGTTAGAAGGGCCTTTTTGTTCACTGACAGTTGCTTGATGTCTCAAAGATTTTTCACTTTCTGTAAAATATCTTTTTAGTTTTTTTCCTCATAATTTAAAAATACAATTTCCTTAACTGAAATAATTTAATTTTTCATCTCACCATCTTAAAATTGTTTTCTACATTGAACAAGAATCTGAACTAGTCAGGCGCGGTGGCTCACACCTGTAATCCCAACACTGTGGGAGGCTGAGGTGGGAGGATCACTTGAGGCCAGGAGTTTGAGACCAGCCTGGGAAACAGGATACCCCAGCTGTATTTTTAAAAAATAAAGAAAAAAAGAACCCAAGCTGTTTTATAGCTGGCCGCTTACAAGCTCAAGTTCTGTAAAATCTTCAGGAATTTTTTTGTTTTACATTTAATTCTGATTTCACTGATTGTGACTAATTTTATTGATTATTTTTTAACTCAAGCCATTTTGTATTAAATTGAAATGCATTTGCTGAAAATGTCTTTTAACTGTTGTCTGTTATCTTAAAACTTTTTTTTTACACAGCAGCTTTTTAATTTTGCTCTGCTGCAGCAAATTGCAATTGCCATTCTTTGTAAAATTTGTGACATACCTTGTTGAGTCTGTTTTCTTTTCATTTGATTCTTCCTCAGTAGTATACCTTCACTTGAAAGTAAAAATTTTTCTATTTTTAAGCTAGAAAAATAATTTAATTATAAAATAATTAAAATAAGTATTTTAATTTAATTGCCAATTATGATTTACATAAGTGTCACTGTAACTTATGGTATCTGCATAAAAGGTTCAAATAAACCCATTACAGTGCTACATTGTTGCATAGAAAAATCATTTGAACTGACTCATTCTATCAGTTCTAGATTGGTGATATGCTTTTGTGTAATGCTAGAAATGACACATTTACCCAACTGTGTACTGCCATATATCTTGCACAATTTAATAATAAAAGCAGAATACAGTTCTACCAAACTATAACATTGTGCTTAATTGTAAAAGATTTTACACTGCTTCAGTTAACAATTTATATTAATTAAAAGTTTTAAAACTTAAAATTGTATTCCTCAGTTGCCGTAGCCACATTTGCACAGCTCGAGTATAGATCAGCTTACTTTGGTGATGAAAGGGTAGAGAGGCAAAGCAACTGGACCCAGTTGGCCTGGAGGAACAGAGCAAGTCCGTAAATGAGTCTGTACTTTAACAAATGTAATTTTATATCCAAGGCTGACTTCATGTTATACCAAAAAGGATTACTTTAATTTAAAGAAATAAATCAGTTGTTTAATTTACTTTGAAATAATTTATTTGTTTAAACAACCACTTATTTGTGGCAGTTAGAGGTTCAGTTTTCAATTAGATATTAGTGGCATCCTATAAATACATAAAAAGCGATCTGAGTTTGCTCTTAGACTTCACTTTCCAGATAAATGCTAGCATTTCGAGTTTTGAACACTGAGTATTGTTTTATTCAAACTACATGCATAAATTTATACAAACATAAAATGAAAATGTAAGCAGAAATTCGAGTAGAGTAACGATACAATTTCATTCTTCAGTGAATGCTTAAGGTTTATAGAGGTACCAAATGCCTTAAGCCCAAATTTACAGACAAAGTAGATCTTATCCTCTTAATATTTGTGCTGAGAGGGAGCAAAAAATTAAAACTTTGCACTAATTTAATTTCTTTATGTGGTGGTTATAAGACCAGTGAAGAATTTTTTCTCCTGCTGGTAGTACTTTGATAATAGAAAATGGTCCAGGATATAAAAGACTGCTTTTGCTATTTGTGGAATTGTTGGGAACTGACTTTACACACTCAGAATATGTTAGAGAAATCTTGAATGACTGCCTGGGTGGTCAGTTAATGAGAGTATGTGTTAAATAATTACATATATAACATTGTAGTGACAGTTTTCAAAGCATCCACTTAAAATTTTCATTTCTCTGAGTAAAAGACACAAGCCTGCTTTTTTGTGTAATCTTTTAAAATTGCTTTTTCCCACCTCTTTCTCTCTCTTTCTGTCTCTTTTTAATAAAATGGTTTTCAGATATAAGATGTTTTTGGGATTCTGCTAGAGATGACCTAATTTTTACTAATTGCTGTGCTTTCAAAGTTTTGTTTGCTGAGAATGGCAGGGTTATTTTTATTATTCTTTGGTAGTAATAACAAGTGGTTTCATGCAAAGCTGCATATTCAAAAGAATATCTTAGTGCCAGCTTGTCAGTTGTTTTTGTTAAAATTGGCCTTATCCCAGGAAAAAATTAAATGTTAATGCGTACAAGTTAAAGTTTATATTATGTGTGATTTGTTACATTATTTGCTTATTGTCTTGTAAAACACACAGAGTGTTGGTTTTTAAAAATAGCTTAAATATTTTTCTTCAAAGCACTTATCAATTGCCTGAATGATATAGCCACTGTTTTATACTTTTGTTTTGTAGTGCCTCAGAATGAAAGATCATTCTTCTCAACTCATCTGAATTCAGTCTCTTTTAATTAAATTCTGTTTAAAATGTGCAGCTTTAACTTTAGTTTTTCTATTCAGATATCCCTACAGGCTAATTACCTTTTCCCTGCTTTTCACTTAAATCTCTCCTCCCCCCAATTCCCCATTAATTTGGGTTGGGAAGTGTTACCTTAAAGCTTTAGGCTTAATGCTACATGAAAAGACTCGGTGCTTTTTATTTCATTTTCCATGTATTAGGCACCACTAAAAAGAATGTAACACGTGTAGCAGCTTATTTCATTTTCAAAGGAGGAATTGAAGAGCTTTTGAGTGAAAAACGTGAAAAGAAGCTCATGTTCATTGCCTACGTGGCTTTTTAAAAGACTCTTGAAAAACATTCCATTGTGAATTCCAGGTCCTCTTTAAACTTACCACCAGCAGTAACTGCCTGCAGAGCCATGTGATCATCTTGGCAGCAGCCAGGCCTTTTAGTGATTTTATTACTGTGGTTTCCTCAAGCTCTTTACACACATTGATTAATATTTTCCTTGCAGTTATCGCTGTGATGATTTTGTGGTCAATGACACCAAGCTGGGACTGGTACAGAAAGTCAGAGAACACTTACAGAACTTGGAAAAGTAAGTAATAGGCCTTTGGAAAAAGAAGGGTCTAAGAATGGGGTTGAAGTATTTTTTAGAATTTTTGAGTGGGGTTTTTGTCGATGAGTTTTATTTATTTGCAAGGGGAATTTTGAGGGTACAAGGAAAGGGCAGAAAAAGGTGTGAAATCATCATAGAGTTACTTTTGATAATAGAAAACCCTTGTCAAATGTATTGTGAGGTCTACTAGGAAGCACTATTATTTATGCATCATTTTTTTTTTTATTGTTTGTCCTTTAACTTTTTTTTTTTTTTTTTTTTTTTTTTTTTGAGACGGAGTCTCGCTCTGTCGCCGGGGCTGGAGCGCAGTGGCCGGATCTCAGCTCACTGCAAGGTCCGCCTCCCGGGTTCACGCCATTCTCCTGCCTCAGCCTCCCGAGTAGCTGGGACTACAGGCGCCTGCCACCTCGCCCGGCTAAGTTTTTGTATTTTTAGTAGAGACGGGGTTTCACTGTGTTAGCCAGGATGGTCTCGATCTCTTGACCTCGTGATCCGCCCGTCTCGGCCTCCCAAAGTGCTGGGATTACAGGCTTGAGCCACCGCGCCCGGCCTTTTTTTTTTTTTTTTTTTAATTTATTTATTATTATTATACTTTAAGTTGTAGGGTACATGTGCATAACATGCAGGTTTGTTACATATGTATACTTGTGCCATGTTGGTGTGCTGCACCCATCAACTCGTCATTTACATCAGGTATAACTCCCAATGCAATATTTATGCATCATTTTTAAGGGAAATTAGGTTTAATGAACATATTGTCCACTTTGCATCTATGCAATAGCACAGGATCCTAGTTTCTTTTCCTTGCTTGTTAGGGGCAGTTAAATATCACTTGACATTAACAAGGAGCTATGAATACTTTGTCATCATAAAGAAATGAAACTGTTTATGTGTGAACAGACTTTTCTTGGTATAGTCAAATAGCTTAGTTAGAGAAAACTCACTGGACCCAAGATTGAAGCAATAAACAGAAACCCAGCTAGCCATGCCTTTGAAGCTACAGTGCATAGAAGCATGGCTGTGGAATGACTGCTGACTCAAGTGAAATCTGTGTACATCACACCAAATCATTAAGTGCCATCTAATTTATTTTGGCAGTTGGTGTGTAGAAGTTATTGTGAAAACATGCACAAAGCAGGAATGCCTTAACAAACTTAAGTGTAAAGCCCATAGAATGTTTCAAAATTGCATACTGAAAGGAAATAACCTAACTTCTTTGAGGGCAATACTGCATAGTGTTTGTTAAAACCAGACATGTATGTCTCATTGGCTAACTAGATTATAAAGCCGATACTGGAAGAATAATGATTTCTTTAAACCAATTAAAGTACTTCAGGTTTAAGTACTTTTTGGTTTGTCGTCTTTTGGCTCTTTTTTAGAGTGCTTCTCTTCTAATTTGATGAGCCCTATCTAGGATTAGAGACAGATACACACAGATCCAAAATATTTAATTTTCTCTGAAAGTGTTCACAATAAACATGAAGTCTGAGATTCCTGAAGGAATGTATGTGTAGTATCACTCTTTGGTGTGGTGATGTCATTGTAAAGGTCTTAGTAACTTGATTATTTGTTATAGAAGTGGGTGGCTACCAGAATATTTTTTCTGCCACTTATGGTTTTCTCTAGGTAAAGACTACCCTCTCAGTCTGAAATAAATTAATCAGAACTAAATCAAAGGGAAAAGAGGGCATTTGGGAACCTGCATGCATTTATATAGTTAGGAAATCTTTTATTTCCGTTGACCACTTCATCAGATGAAAGGTGTCACAGACCACCTGTCTACACGTCTGCTTGGCCCCAGTGAAAAGTCTACCTTACAGTCCATTTCCTATGTTGAAAAACATTACCTAGATTCATTTTTGTGTTTTGCAAACGTTGGTTTAATCTGTAGTGGAATTTAGAAACTACGATCATATTTGTTTTACTTAACTTTTGACTATTCCACATGCCCCATGGAGCAGCACTGTCCAGCAGAACTTTCTGCAGCGACGGAAGTGTTCTCTATCCACTCTAATATGGTAACACTAGCCATACGCGGAAAGTGGCTAGTGCAACTCAGACACTGAATTTTAAACTTCAAGTTTAATTAATTTAAATAGCCACCTGGAGTGAGTGGCTACTATATTCGATAGCAGGGATCTAGAAGATTCTGCATTTTGAGAGTCATTGAGGATAAAATGTAGTAACTTACATTTTTAAAAGGTGAAATGCCTTATTGATATAGGTTACAACTGCAAATGAACTCTTAGGCATTGTCATAAAGAACATATATACTATGCTTGTGGTTTACCTTCCCCACTTCACAGAATTTGTGAAGGAATGATTGAACACTATAGCGTATGGAATTGGTCTCTTCATCTTGCAGTTACCAGTACTGTGAGAGAGAGACATACAGTTCTGAAGAATATTTTGAGGTTTGAAGCAACTGTCACTAGTTCTCATGTTTCAAAGACATAATTCATGTGGAAGTTCTGTAAGAAAAAATAATTATGTATTTACTTTGGATTAACTTGGTACTTTTAGAAGGTGGGAAATAATTGGCAGCCTTAAAAGTCTGTGTTGTTTAACCATAATTTTTACTTGCTTTAGATTAATTTGCCTGAGATACAAAAATTTTAAAGTGACCTTTTGAAAATAGAAATAACTTTCTGATAAATTTTAAGCAAAATATTTCTTACATCAAGAAAAATTTTGAGTGATTTTAATTCAGAATTTCTGCACTGATAAGGACGTGTTTTGGAATGTCCTTTGGCGCGTAGCTGCATCTAATGAATGTACATGTGCCTATATTCCTGTAACTTATTTATCATTCCTCAAACTCAGATCATATCCTCATCTATTAAGACAAATGAGCAAAACATGACATCTTTATATCGAAATTAAGAAAGACAGCATGTGGAGACTTACTGTTAAATTTCAGAACAGTTGTGTCAGACCAGGGTTTTCCTTTTGTTGTGAGGAATGAGCCTTCTGCTCTGTGAAGCTTCGCAGTGGGTCAGACAGTGAGAGTGGTGGTGGGGAGTGTCCCACGGGCTGCATCTTCTGACCAGCTTTGCCAGGAGCAGCATCCAGCCCACCTCTGCTGGACGAGCGGTGTCTGGCCCACCTCTGCTGGAGGAGCAGTGGGGATTTCCAAGGAAGTAGAGTTCCTCAGTTAACTTCAAATACGTGTGGGCCCCAGTGGGCCTGACGAAGCAGTCAGGGAGGTCTCCCTGCCCTAGGTCTTGAGGGCAGCTGGAGTTTATTCTTTGACCTGTGGTGTAGCATGCATATATTAATAACTTTTTCACTATCTGTTTGTGTTTTAATAGCTCAGCTTTCACAGCTGATAGGCATAGGAAAAGAAAACTTTTGGAAAACTCCACACTAAACAGCAAGTTATTAAAAGTAAATGTAAGTAATTAAAATTTATTCAAATATAAGAGTTAGTTGAGATTTAATCACTGTTTTGTTACAACTCTAACATGTAAAGTTACCTGTTACAGACTTTCTTATAAATGTGTGTCTTGGATTTGGAGTATTTTACACAATGTTTGCCACTTGTACTGTCGATTATTGCTGTGACCCCAGTGAGTCCATCTGTCAGCACCTTCTTCCCATCAGCATTACTGCTGTGCTCCTCTGCCCTAGAAAACAGTTCACTCTTAATACCTGCTCACACTCCTTACTCATCAGGAAACCCAGCCTTCATTTTTAAGACTAAGTCTTTAGGTTCAGGCAGCTTTTCCTTTTTTTGAGACGGAGTCCTGCTCTTTAGCCCAGGCTGGAGTACAGTGGCGCATTCTGGGCTCACCGGAACCTCCACCTCCCAGGTTCAAGTGATTCTCCTGCCACAGCCTCCGCCTCCCAAGTAGGTGGGACTACAGGTGCACACCACCGCGCCTGGCTAATTTTTGTATTTTTATTTTTATATATTCTTTTTTGAGACGGAGTCTCACTCTTATCACCCAGGCTGGAGTGCAGTGGCATGATCTTGGCTCATTGCAACCTCAGCCTTCTGGGTTCAAGCAGTTCTCCTGCCCCAACCTCCCGAGTAGCTGGGATTATGGGTGCACGCCACGCCCGGCTAATTTTTTCTATTTTAGTAGAGACAGAGTTTCACCGTGTTGCCCAGGCTGGTCTTGAACTCCTGAGCTCAGGCAGATCACCCACCTCAGCCTCCCACAGTGCTAGGATTACAGGCATGAGCCACCACACCTGGCCTTTTTGTATTTTTAGTAGAGACAGAGTTTCCCCATGTTGGCCAGGCCGGTCTTGAATTTCTGACCTCAGGTGATCCGCCCACCTCAGCCTCCCAAAGTGATGGGATCACAGGGGTGAGGTGCCTGGCCTCAGGCAGCTTTTCAAGATTAATATCCCATTGTTAGGAAAATGCGTGTTGGTCATTTATATATGGCTTAGAGTTACAAGTTTGGGGACAAAAATACTTGGGGCATATATATTTATATTTTTCCATTCTTCTTAGTTTTTATAGAATCTTAAAAAGGCATTAAATCTTAAATGTTATTTTAAGGATTTCCTGTTTTTTGCATTGTGTACTCCATGGTACTCATTAATGGTGATTTCTTCATAAGCTTTCAATAAAATACTTCCTTTTAGAACAACCCCAGGATCAGAAACAGCCTTCTAAAAATATCCAGACATTTATACAGAGACTAGTTTGTTTCAAATATTCATTGGACAGAAAAGGACCAATTCCAAATTGGCTTGGTGCTAGAGTTTCAGAGGCCTTGCCTTAGCTTTGATGTTTGAAACAGTTGGCCTTTCCTTGGCATTACTGATGGCCTCTTCTTGCACCACTTACAGGGAAGCACCACTGCCATTTGTGCCACAGGCCTTCGGAATTTGGGGAACACGTGTTTCATGAACGCCATCCTTCAGTCACTCAGGTAATGCTGCAGTCAGAGCTTAAGCGTCTGACATTAAAGGTTAAGAGCAACGGCTCTGGCTTCCTATCTTGTCTACCACTAACTCTAGTCATATGGTTTGGGGCAAGATACCTTAATTTCCTGTGCCTTCATTTCCTCATCAGTAAAAGTGGGGACAGTAGTTCCTACCTCATGGAGTAGTTGGGAAGATTAAATAATGTAATTTGTCTAACATACTTACAGCAGTGTCCGGCAGTGAATAGTTGTTTGCGGTTATTTCCGGTTGCTTCTTGAATAGGCTGGAACTGAGGTCAGCAAACTTTTTCTGTGAAAGGCCTGATAGTAAACATTTTAGTATTTCAGGCTACAGTCTCTCTCATATATTCCCCCACCACCCTGCCCTTTATTAAAACAGCACTTTAGGGCCGGATGCAGTGGCTCATGCCTGTAATCCCAGCACTTTTGGAGGCTGAGGAGGGCAGATCACCTGAAGTCAGGAGTTCTAGACCAGCCTGGCCAACATAGTGAAACCCCGTCTCTACTGAAAATACAAAAATTAGCTGGGCGTGGTGGCGTGTGCCTCTAGGCCCAGCTACTTGGGAGGCTGAGGCAGGAGAATCGATTGAACCCAGGAGGTGGAGGTTGCAGTGAGCCAAGATGGTGCCACTACACTCCAGCCTGGGTGACAAAGTGAGACTCTGCCTCCAAAATAAATAAATTAATTAATTAAATAAAACAACACTTTAAAAATGTAAAACTCGCTTTAAGAGCTGCGTGGTGGAGGGCTAGATTTGGCCTGTGGGCCACAGTTTGCAGACCCTGGATTACAGAGAACCTTGTTCAAAGAGCTTATTTCAGTCATTAGTTGAGTCTTAACCCATTTATGCCAGAAGTTGCAATTTTTTTTGTATGAAAAACCAGACCTTGTCGATGACCCTGAGCAGTAAGATATAAATAACTCCCAGAAACTTAGCATTCCAGTAATGGAACACTAGGCATAAATGGGTTAGGTCATAAGATGAGATGTCTTCAAAATATGAGACAAGTAGTAAAAATAAAATAGTCAACAAGGCTGATCTAAGTTTTGTAGAATAAATTATTTTGAAAGTTGCATACTTTTAGATTTTAATGAGACATCAAAGGCTAGAATAAATGACCTTCCCAAGGTGACACTGCTGATAAGAAGCGGAAGGCATGTTTGATCTCTCCGGGAAGGCACTGCCTCTCAGCTTACCTCTTCTTGCTCAAAGAGGAAATTATAGTTACTACCGAATTCTCCTTATGATTCTGTACAGTGTATCAAAATAATATGGTCAGCTTCATGGTTTGTTTTTATTTGAGGAAATTACTGAATACCTGGAAACAAGCAACTGTAAAGAAAGAAATGGTGACTCCTATAACTGGAGGGAAAATTGGGGATTGTTTTGAAAAGGGATTTTGTTTTCAGTTCTTTTTTGTTTTTGTTTTTTACAAAGTCATCTGTCTATACTATTTTCTTAGAAGGAAGAATCATAATGAAGAAACTGAATGCAAGAGATTGCATTGAATACAATTTAAATGAGACAATTGAAAAATTGCAGTTTCAAAATGTATATGTAGGCTTCATCAACTTTCTTTACAGTCCTATTCTTTTCTTTTTACAATATTTTTCCCTTCCTTTTAAAATAGTAACATTGAGCAGTTTTGCTGTTATTTCAAAGAACTGCCCGCTGTGGAGTTAAGGAATGGGAAAACAGCAGGAAGGCGGACATACCACACCAGGAGCCAAGGGGATAACAATGTGTGAGTTGCAAGAATATGTCCTTTTGGCTTTGAGTTACAAAACAAATTACTCTCACTGGTGGTTTCCATTATATTATGTGAGCTCACAGGCACATGCCTTAAAAAATCTTCTGAAAATTGTGTTTAAGTATCTAGCTGGCAATCTTAATAATTGTTGGAATTCCGGCTGGGCATGGTGGCTCACACCTGTAATCCCAGCACTTTGGGAGGCTGAGGTGGGTGGATCACTTGAGGTCAGTCAAGACCAGCCTGGTCAACATGGTGAAACCCCATCTCTACTAAATATACAAAAATTAGCTGGGCGTAGTGGCGGGCGCCTGTAGTCCCAGCTACTCAGGAGGCTGAGGTGGGAGAATTGCTTTAACCCAAGAGGCGGAGCTTGCAGTAAGCCGAGATCACGCCACTGCACTCCAGCCTGGGTGACAGAGCGAGGTGCCATCTCAAAAAAAAAAAAAAAAAAAAAAACCTTATTGGGATTCTTTTATTTACCATAACAGGAGGGATAAATTTAGCATTCTGCTTATTGACTGCAGATTTGGGCATTGGAGAATTGGCATCTAGATGTGAAATGCAGTTCTACGAGTAGGCAACGATGAATCTTATTAGTCCCTGTGAACTGATTTGTCTCACAGTATTAGGTAATCCTGTCTTGGATACTGAAATTAATTTGTAGTCAACAAACTAGTTGTGGGGGAATAAAGTCAATTTTTGGTTGATATAGAGAGGGGGAAAAACAGACAAGTGCTCATTAAGAACCAGTCCTGTATCCTTATTTGGTGTAGACCTCCGTTATTTGTGGTTCAGAAGATCTATCATTATGACAATTGTAGGGGGTACATTTTTCGTGTCTTATTTTACAGCTCTTTTTTCAGAAGGACTGTGGCTCATACTCCTTATGTATTTAATGTTTTCTCTGTCTGCTCCTCCACTTCCACACACTCCCATTCTTACTCATTCTGAGGGACCATCCTGTGATTTGACACTGTCCTGCCTTGGTGGCTGAGGGAGAGTAGGACTCAACATGTCAGAATGATGGGCAGCAGGGCCAGAGTCACAGTGCAGGGAAACTGGGAAGCCAGGCGTGGAGCAGGGCTGGAATGACATCACTACAAGTGGTGTTTGAAGGGAGTTTCCTTCACAGCAGCATCTGGGATGAGTTGAGCAGCATCTAGGATGAGTTGAAAGTGCCTACTTTCAAGGAGGCTTTGCACTCTACAGTAATCAGGTCAGAGGGGACAGCAGTGAAACAGCAGAAAAAATACATGTGTATGAGTTAAGAGAAGAATTAACATAGTACTTGATGTATTCGTGTCATGCAGGGTTGAGTTTCAGACTGCAGAAATTGCCTTTGGCTGATTTAGGCAGAAAAGGAATTTACTGCAGGGATATTGGTGAGCTAATCATAATGGGTGAGTGAAAAATCAGGTCTGGAGTCCGAGGCAGCAGCACTGCAGTCACAGTCACCCCACAGAACTGTCCTGTAAGGCCGCCACTGCCTCTGGTGCCCAGCGCAGCAGCAGAGTTCCTGTTGCCAGCACTGCTGGAGATGGGTGCTGGCGGACACGGCCATGCTGCTGCCCTGCACTCCGGATGGTGCTCTTTGTCCCTACTGCTACCAGAGAGGATTTGGTGCCGTCCCTTCTTCTTTGTGTCACTATGTGTCACTTCTTTGTGTCACAGGCTATGTACCTGTGCTCTGACTGCAAGGGAGCCTGAGAAGGCAAGTGTCTGGCTATTTAGCTTTAGAAGTGGGAGGCAAACTCTTAAAGTGGGGATTCTCAAACATAGGAAGAGGGTTCAAGTATTAGGAAGTCAAAAACATGATTTGTATTCCAGGGTCCTACGTGATCGTGAGGGTTGAGAAAGAAGATACTGAGATTCTCTGGGATATCAATCAAGTATCCAAAAATATGGTGCTTATATTGACAGCTATGGAAGTTGAAGTTGAGTTGGATCAGTTTAGCCACAGGTGTAGAAAACCAGAGTTAAGTGACTTAAACATCCATGGTTTGTTTCCTCACATAAAAGTCAGAGGCTGTCTGTCCAGGGTAGTTTGACAAAGCCATCCGGCTCCTCCTGGCTTTCTGTTCCATCAACCTCCAGAGGCCCTATCCATCCACATAGTCCACCATGGTGCTGGGGCTCCCCAACTCCGTCCCCATTCCTAGCAGGAAGAAGGAAAGGATTAATATAGGACTACTCTTCTTTTTAAGACATTTCCCAGAATTTGGACACACTCAATTTTTTATTTTGAGAGTTTATATGCCCAGGAAAAAAATGAGAGTTCTATTCCTATGCGAGAAGAAGAGTGTGGATATTGGGTGATAGGAGGGTGTACAGAGAGCAGTAGATGCTGGAGCAGGTCAGTGCACATAGAGGTGAAAGTGACAGGATCTCCAGCAGAAAATTCCTGCTGGAAACTGGAGAAGTTTACGTAAAAATAGTCATGAGAAAATCTGACTTTTGGAGTTGAGGGTCACTGGTGGAAAGCCGAGTGGTGAAGGTTTGTGACACAGGCTGGAGTCTGAGGGTGCTAGTGAGTGGCAAGAAGGACAAGGCAGGAGGGGGAGAAAGAGAGCTGAATGCTTGTTTTGCATTTTGAAAACGTACATTCTTAAGTAATTTGGCCTATAACTCACCCAGTGCTGTATTGTTTGCTTGCATGGTTTAACTCAGAGTGTAGAAATACGGTGGTGCATTGGCACACTCAGAGTTAACCATATGGTTACAAATTAGCTTTGTCAGAATTACTGCTATTTATGTGGGTTTTTGAGATGCTCTTATTTATCTTTCAGACTTTCTTCAGAAAAGACCAAATCCTTTTTAAGTGTTCATTTTGTATGTGTTATGCGTTTTAGACGAGTGGATGCTGTGTTGGAATTGTAGCCTCTCACTAAGCTGAGGGCACTGTCCTTTCCTCTTTTGCAGGTCTTTGGTAGAAGAGTTTAGAAAGACACTCTGTGCTTTATGGCAAGGCAGCCAGACTGCATTTAGCCCAGAGTCCTTATTTTATGTTGTTTGGAAGATTATGCCAAACTTTAGGTAAGTATTATTTAAAGAAAGGTATTTTAAAACATTAATATTAGTGTCTATACTGTTCCTGAAATAATTCCTAATGAAGTGGTTTTATTCTAAATATTCTAAATACTTAACGCTAGTTTGGTGTTTTTTCTTTTTAAGAAGAAGAGTAGAAATCGAATACATCTGACTAAACAAATGTGTTTATTTAAATAATAGACTGTAGAAATGTCTTTAACAAGAGGTGGGGTATTTTGTTGCTATAAACATAAAGCCCTTATAAATAACTTATGTGCACTAGGAAAAGATACTGGACAAAATTTCCTTAATCCTTTCACAACATAGAATAATTACAATCACACACTGTCTTGTTACTCCAGCTAAAAAAATTAGTATGATCAGTAGAAGTGCATGGTATTATATGAACTGTTTGGAACTGAGTTTGGAAGCTCTGGGAAGGCTGTTGTCAAGGGCCTGGGACGCACTCTCTAGAAGGCGGCTGTGCCACATCCTGGTGTGGCCAGAGAGCTGCTGTGGTGCCCATGCTTTCTGTCTCGCCTCGCTTGAGCAAAATACACCTCTGCTGTACACCTAGCTATTAGAGGAGTCTCCTGCCTCTTCTCGTAGGCCTGTCATCCCTGTAGGGATTCAGATGATGGCAGCTTTGAGGCACTGCAGGTGTTTGACAGCAGCCTTGGCCACCTTCTGCCCGTTTTACCCTTCTGAAGCAAGTCATGGTTCTTACTAGTTACAATTTTGGCACCTAATGTACATCCCTTCTCCTTTTTAAAAAACAAAACAAAACAAAAAAACACCATGCTGTAGTAAACTTAGCGATCTTTCTTGCTCTATTGCCTAAAAAGATGTATTGTTAATATAGAGATATATTTAAAAGGTAATTAACTTCAAAGGACTTTAAATTGTTGCCTTGCTAAAGAGTCTAGCCTTAAGGATCTGACGTGAGTAACTCGAGTTAACCGTAGTCTTTGTTTTGAAAGAAACTCCTTTTATGTATCATACCATTTAGATCTCCTCTCAGGAAAGACATAAGAATTTGAGAATGTCTTGACTCTAAGTATGAAAGGTAGGAATGACAGTTAAGTTACCACTAGTCAAGTCTGGACCTAATAAAAAAAAAATTCTAACATAATCACCTGGTAGACTCTTGATAGAGGTTTAGTCTTTGTGTTTTATTATTACATAATAATAGTTTCCATTTATTGAATGCCTGCTGTGTGCCACCCACTGGGTATTTTATATCTGGTCTTCATTAAAAAACAAGCAAGAACACAATTCCAGTCAAGGTAGGAAATATTGCCCCCATTTTAGAGGAGACAAAACTGAGACAGAAAGGAGAAGCAACTTGTTTAAGCTTATGCGTCTAGTAGGGTAATGACCAAAATTAGAGTCCAGGTGTTTGTGGAGTTGGCAAATAATAGATGTATTGACAGTGATTTGCCCACATACCTTGAACGAGGCCCATTAACTAATTTGATACTGTTTTCTTGATCCCCATGGTGACCAAGATCCTTCATTCTTGAAAGCTTAGAAACATTATCATATTTTATACAGTAGAAATCTGCTTTTCCTGTACATCTTTCCACATCTCTGTCCTTTCTAGCTTCTGTAGCCCAACTGTGAGCATGATTTAGTTTTTAGCTGTTTAATTTTCATATTGGAATATTCCTACTGATGAAGGAATAAGGAAACCAGGCTGAGGAATTTAGCATGTGGAGTGTCTGGGGAAGATTTCAGATATCATGAACTCTTAAATTTCTTTAATGGCTGATGAGAATAGGGTGCTTTTGTACTCTTTAGCTGGGCTTGCTCTTAGTTCTGCAATAATTGAGATTGTTCCCCATTTTTATATAATCAAAGAACAATTTTTCTCTTGGTCAGATCTGGATCTTGAGATTATAACATGGATAAAGCTTTAGTGCAGGGTCACTGCACAATGCCCAGGTGTGAGGCAGGGAGGTGGGGCTTGCTTTTTACAGCTCTTACTCTACGAGGTATGCAGGTCAGATTCTTATAGCATGCCTGTGTGTAAGTGCATGAATCTTGATTTATGTTTATTTATAATCCCAAAGGAATGTTTTTTAGGTTTAAAAAGCCCATTTTCCTTGGTTTAACACATGACAGTGTCTAGCGAACTTGATCCCTTTGGGATGAAATATGAGGACTCTGAAATACAAACATGCATGTAGAAGTAGAAACAACTTTCATCTATTAAATACACAAATATATATACATACACACACCCCCAAAACACACACCCTCAATGTAATCAGCAGCTTTGGAAAGAGAAATCATTAAGCCTATTCTTTTTTCCCCACTGAAACTAAAAGCCAGTTACCTAGCAGGGAAAATTTTCTTGAAGTTTTGACCTTTTCCAATATACATGTGTACTTACCACACTTCTTTTGATTTCTCAGTGTATTCAGCTCTTTCTATCCTTTTGCTTTTCATAAAAATACTTTAAAGTGTATTTTTTTAAATAGGCAAAAACATATGTGGTTCAGAATTCAAAAGGTAACAAAAGAATATGCAGTGAATGTTTTATTCTGTTCTCTAGCCATTCATTCTGTTTTCTGGAAGCAACCATAGTTACTAGAGTTTTCTGTATCCTTTCAGATATTGTGTGTACATATCCAGGCAAGTGTGTGTGTGTGTGTGTGTGTGTGTGTGTGTGTGTGTTTATGGAATTTTTAACGTAATTGGTGATGTATCATGTTTTTCCCTCCTTTAAGATGATTCATACTAGTATACAAACAGCTTCCTCAGACCATTTTCTAGTTCTATCATCATTTGTGTCCAAGTCCCTCCCAGTGGCTCTATGGACTGTTTCTAGTCTTTGCTGTTCTAAACAGTGCTACAGTGAGTAGTCTTTTACATACACGTGCAGGTATCTAAGAGAGAAAGTGCTAGGCTCAAGCAAATGTGCTTCTGTAATTTTGATAGTCTTTTTTGCTTGACTTTGTCACTCCTTGCTTTTCTTAACACAGCTCTGTCTTGCTGCTTTGCTGTCTTGTGTCACGTGCTTCTGCCCACAGCATTTGCTTGTGGTCCCTATCTCTTTGTCTAGGGTCCCGGTTAAAGCTAACACTCTTCAGGAAACTCTCTTGATGATTCAAATCAGGTCTTTTTGTACAGTCTGATTTAATATATTTGCCTTGACTTCCCAAGATGGAACTTTATTTTTTTAATCAGTTATTGTTATAATTACTGTTTTAAAATGATGCATAAGCATTGAAACATAATTCTTATGTTTGCTTGCTTTTCTCAGGTTTATAGACAATGTAAAGGATTTTTGTAGACAAAAAATAGATCTTTGCATGTGATGCTGTTTGTTTTGAGTCCCTCTTTGTAGCCCAGACTGGAGTCAGTGGCATGATGTGGGCTTACTGCAACCTCTGCCTCCTGGGTTCAAGTGATTCTCCTGCCTCAGCCTCCCAAGTAGCTGGGATTACAGGCACGTGCCACCATGCCTAGCTAATTTTTTTGTATTTTTAATAGAGATGGGGTTTCACTATGTCGGCCAGGCTGGTCTCGAACTCCTGACCTCGTGATCCACCTACCTTGGCCTCCCAAAGTGCTGGGATTACGGTCGTGACCCACCATGCCTGGCCACGTGTGATACTTTAAAGTTTTATTTGACAATAGTCTTTTTGGGATATTTGTAAAAATATTTTAAAATACTATGCTGTTGATATTTTATATCTAAACCATTTTCATTCTTGTAGCCAAGAATTTTGCTTTTGTATTAGTGTGTGTGTTTGTAAACACAAGTTCATTTGTGTTCATTTTTGTCATTTTGTTTTCTGGTGTTTTTGTTTTGAGGAAATTCAGTCATGATTGCTGCCAAATACCGAGTTAGGAATACATTTAACTTATTTGCAGATATTTTGGCCAAAACAACAACTTTATAATTCTTTTTTTAATGTCAAGGATATTTTAAATATGAGCAGAACCTAAAATTCTAATGTATCTTAGGTATTTTAGATGATACATATGTATGTCTGTTTCTACATACAATATATACAGATTATATACTGGCACTGCCAAGACACAGAATAGTCAGTAACGTGCAGGCACGTCACAGTTAAGTATGTGGTGGGATCACATGAGTCCTTTTATGTGTCTGTATTCTGAGATGTTACTTTCTTTATTTGGAACGTCTGCTTTTCACACTCAAGCAGGTGCAAAGTAACATTTTTACTGATGAGCCTTAGAAGAAGTACTTGAACATATATATTGAAATTTAGTTGCCAGATAGTTTAGAAAAAGCTATAGTGAAATGCCAGAGTAACTTCTGACTTTAAGTTCCACAGTTCCATTTATTAGGGAGATTGTTTTCATAATTTAGAATTTCCAGGAAAGGGGGAGAATATATATTGACAGAAACTCTGGTTGGAAGAAATTTTGTTTGTGGAACCACTGCCTGGAAGAGTAGCGGGAGTTTTGAATCTTAAGACCAGGCCAGAAAAACTTAATGATTTAGATTAAAGAGAACCTTCCATGCTGGCAAAATGTAGACGGAAGTCTTTTTTATTTTAGTTTTATAAAAGTACTTTATATAACAATGCTTGCTTTATTTTATCCAAGTAACTTCCCAGACCTTCCACCTGTACCAGTTTCATTTTGTCTGCCTTCATTCCTGTTCTGTCATTGATCTGTATTCGTATAAGAATTTCATATAGTTTCCTGTCTGACTATACTGTAAGAAGTAACCTAAGAATATGTTGTTACATAAATTCAAGTTTTAGGATAGAGCATAACTGTATGTGAGCCAATGCATTTTTTAAAAGTATTTATTTATTTAAAAGATGTCTTAAGTCAGAAGTTAGGATGCAGGTAGAGAAGGTTAGACATCTTTAACTCTTTCAGTGAAGTTTTTCTTCCTTTCAGCCAGTGTTTAAAAATTAGTATCTTTCAATCTAAGGAGTCATTAATAATTTTAAATTCTCCTTTCTTATAGTAGTGGTTCACACCTGATTTTCTAGTGAGGGTAAGAGATGAAGCTGTGACATTGGAGCATCTTCTAGAGAGGTTATGTGGGCAGGGAGAAGAGTCAGAGTCCACCAGGAAACACAGGTGTAGTCCCATCTCTGTTACTCTCTTGCTGTAGGACTTTGGGGAAGTCACATACCACCCCCCCACCTCCACAATTTCCTCACCTCTGAAGTGAGGAGATCATTGCAAGTCCAATTAGCTCTAATATTTTTTGGTTTTCAAACCTATCTTTAAGCAGAATTCATTCTTGAAGAGAAATTCTGTTACCTGTAGAGCTTGCGGGCGTGAAGGTGAGGAAACCTCGCTGTGCTTGTGAGCATGGGGCTGCCATCCTTTCCCACGCCTTGGCCTCTTGCTGGTGTGACTGGGCACACAGAGCCCTTCCCCCCAGCCTTGTAAGTGACCGTTTCTGTTTGCTTTAGGGGCTATCAACAGCAAGACGCCCATGAATTCATGCGCTACCTTTTGGACCACCTACACTTGGAACTCCAGGGCGGTTTCAATGGTGTTTCCCGCTCAGCAATTCTGCAGGAGAATTCTACTCTATCTGCAAGTAACAAGTGTTGCATGTAAGATTTCGTTTCCTTCTGATTTTAGGAAGGCCTCAGACATATCTGTTGGTGTTAACTGTGTGTTGGATTTATAACAGAAGATGGAGGGGTTTCCTAGACATTTGCTGGAACTTTTCGTGCTCTTGAACTTTGTGACCCAGTGAACTAGCACATGCCTCTTGCTTCCAGACCAGAGGCATCTTGTATTTGCATCCTGATTTAGTTCTGACTGTGATTACTTGGTGTAGATTATTTTAAATCTTGAAAAAATAGAAAATATTTGTACAATATTTGTACAGTTTAGCATTTAAAAGATTTCCTCCAAATATATTGAATGATGGGCAGGAGACTTAATTTTCATATACAAAAATAATATTTGTTCACTAAAAACAAAAGCTTAAAACATTTCGAATGTGAACTTTCCTAAAGCTTCATTGTGGACTTGAACTTTCCTAAAGTTTATCTGTTCTTTAATGAAGTCGAGGCATTTGTAAGTTCTCAGAAGTTTTTCTTGCTTCTCAATATGAATAAAACGAAGTTTTTTGGATTGCTTTCCCATGTACTAGTAGCCCACAAACATACACTGAGATCAGAACACTTATTTTGCTTGAAGAAGGGAAGATTTACTGTTATTTTAGCCTGGATTTTGGTCAGTTGTAGCCTCCTTTGTTCAGATGTTTTGAAAAGTTTCACCACTATTGAGCTACATGGGAGAGATTTACAAGAAGACAAACTCCCCCCAAAAAGAAAGAAAAGAGTAAGTAACATGTAGGTGTCATTGTAGTATTGCCTGGCAGCCCATGAATCGGATGTAGTAGGACTACTTCTTTTTAATGGCAAAGCAGGCTGATAGCTAACCAAGCAGTGTTGGAAAAGGGCAACCAATGTGAATTGCCATACTTCTCAAAATGATTGTCCCTCTAGGTCCTAGTAGCTGTGATTCCAATTAGAATACAATATAGAAAGGGAAGGACCTGTGACCTGGGAGAATTGTTCTACCTGCTAGCACCAAATTAAAGAGTATTAAATGAAAAATTGCTTTGTATTTTATCATGGCATATTCATCCATAAAGGATATTGAAATAGGCTCTATCATGGATAGGCTGTGTAAGGTGAGAGAGGGTATATGTCTTTATGATTTTACATGATGCCTGGGGCACCCTGTGGAATCACACTGTGTAATACTCATAGAATGTTCTTTTAGTGCCTCATGAGTTTTCAGTATTAATCTATCCCTTTTCATGACATTTTAAAGATTAGGAATTGCAAGTTTCATTACTGAGTTAGGGACAGAAACCAAACATTATCAAATATTAAAAATTCAGATTTCATTCAGTGCATTGGAGAAGCCATTTCAGGATCTAAGAATATTTGCTACAACTAGAAAAAGGTTCTCTTGTGTAATGTCTTTGTTGACTTGTGCACACACACACCTACCCCTACTGAAGGTGAAGGTGAGAATGGTGGCATGGAAGAAGTAAGTGGCAGATGTGATTTTTATAGTACATAGAAAATCATTCGTGCCAGTTAAAGGACCCTAGAATTATAAGAGCCTATCCAAGTATTCAATATTTAAACATTTGTGGTTATACTAAATGAAACTGATTTTGAATATTAAGTCATGGTATGTATGAAAATGTCAAACAGGTCAGGCAGCTAAAAAGTTGATTAGTATCCATTTCTCAGAGGGAGTGATTATAAGGAAGAACTACATTGAGTCTAAATGTAATTCTTAATGAAGCAGTTTCCATTTTAATTAAAGGCAACCTTGTAAGTGAACATCAGCATGAAAGGGTCAGTTAGAGTCCCTTCATTTTCAGCAGGATTTTTTTTTTTTTTTTGCTATGTACTTTTTTAGTGACACAGATATTAAACCTAAACCTGAAATGGCCACTAGATCCTACAGCTCCCAATGCTTCTTCCCCAGTGCCATCTTAAAACAAAAAACAAAAAACTTATTAAGACAGTATGTCTTACAAACAATACTTTAAAAAGTAATAATAAAGTTACAGCCTATTTATTTTGCCAGTAAAAGAATGAAGCCTTTTCCTAGAAAAGGAATCAGACTTTTCAAATAGAATTGTTTGAGTAGGTTTTGTCATCATTGCAGTAGGTTTAACTTAAAGTGGCCTAGAAAATACAGTTCAGTGTTTTAGGAGTAATTGATTCAAGTGACAGAAACCACATTATATTGCTGTTAGCAAAAAAGAGTGTGTATTGGCTCAAGTAACTTCATAAGTGCACGAAGGCTAATAGACATGTAGTACTATTAATGATAGCAAACAATTGAAACTACCTCAATACCCACTAATACTATATTGGTTAAATTAAGAGAAAGAGCCGTGTTAGAGCAGATGTTCAGGCCAGGCCAGCTGTATGACCTTGGGCCAACTTAACCTCAGCGTCCTCATCTACAACATGGGGCTAACAGTAGCTACCTTTCTGATGTGTTGTGAAGATTAATTGATTGAATAGATGGAAAGAATGTGCTTGGAATGGAGCCTGCATGTAGTAAGTGCTATAATAAGTGCCTGCTACTCCAGGTCTCACTGGTACACTTCCTCGGTGGTTCTTGCTTCCGTTGTATGTCCATACTCTGACACACCATGTAGCTGTCAGGAAGAATGAGGTACCTGTTTAAGATACACACTCAGGGAAAAACATAAAAGCAAGAAGCAGGTGTAATCTGACTTCATACGAATAAAATAGTGGCAAACACTTTAAGTGCTTTATTTTTGGTAAGTACTCTTCTAAAAGCACTTCACATACACAACTCTCTCGTCTCCACACTGGGCCTCTGTGGTGGGTGCTCTTCTGTATTCCTGTTTTATATTTGATGGAGCAGAGGCATGAAAAGGTTAAGTAACATTAGGGCAGATGGTTTTGAAAATTGTTCTTAAAACAGTATATTCTTCATCTCCACAAGGAAATTATTTGCAGTATTGAGCTTTTTAAAAAGTGTTTTTGACAGTAATATCCAGCACTTTCAATTGTGAAGTCCTGCTTACAGCAGTAATTACTAAATCTGTATTAAATTCCTTTACTTCCTTTTCCCCAAATTTGACAGATGGCTGTATAAAAACTCTAAAACTATCTCAGATCAAGGATGTTCAAAGTCAAGTAATTGTGAGAGTTCCCTGTGAAATATGAAAGGCCTTGCAAAGATTCCAATACAAGGCAGTTTCTTCCTTCTGAGGCCTAACCTGGGGAGGGAATGGAAGGAGTCATGTCGCCCTGTGCAGACTCATGCATGTGATCTGTTATGATAGCAAATGGCCAGTGTTAGTTACTCTTGGGGAAAGTAGTGGGATTGGATGAAGGCATTGGGGGAGGTCAGTGGCTTAAACCTTTTATTTAGTATGTGTCTATGGTTTTGAAATTTTTATATTATTTTTTAACTTAGAAATAAATGATTTAAATATTCCCTCAAAGGGAGTCATCTGTAGGGCTTTAACAAATATTTGTAGTTTTTTAAGTGTCAAAGAGATGGCTTCTTACTGAGATATTTTCCTATATGGTGATTTTGTTTAGAAATGGAGCATCTACTGTTGTCACGGCTATATTCGGAGGCATTCTCCAAAATGAGGTTAACTGCCTCATATGTGGGACAGAATCTAGAAAGTTTGATCCATTCCTAGGTAAGTTATGTGGCATGTGGCTATATAATATTTTATTAAAATAATTTTAATGTTTCCTTCAAAAAATAAGTGTAAAGAGAAATCTAGAAATACATCAGTTTGTGAAATTATTTTTGAGTAGACATATATGCCTTTAACAGCTCTTTATTTACTTATCTCTCCTTTTAAGACCTTTCATTAGATATTCCAAGTCAGTTCAGAAGTAAGCGCTCTAAGAATCAAGAAAATGGACCAGTTTGTTCATTACGAGGTAAAGATACTTGAATGTTCTAAAATATTTTTTCTTTAAATAATGGAATAGATTGATAAGCTTCATCTATATGTGCTATGTGGTTAATATCCTTAATAAATCTGTGTTATAACTTAAAAGTCAAACTTGAATGTCTTTTCCTACCCTCCAAAATGTTACTGAATAAGAATGTCTGCCATAAGATATTGTGTGAAGCATAAAATATTTCGCATTTTTTTCTTCTTTTTAATACTGACTTTAAAATAGAAGGTCTGTAGCAGAAGTTTTTCTGACCAGATGAAACAGAAGTTATTCTGTGGTTATCCCACTAGCATCTATAGGAAGAAAATACTCAGCAGAGTCTTATAAATTACGGTATTATGTATTGTTGTCAAATAGTTTGAGAAATCTCTGGATGATATAACTGCTGCTTAAGCCTGAGGCCCTGCTTTTAAGACTGTTAAAATTCACATTTATTTAGGGAGATTTGAACATATTTTTTCCTTGATGAGTACTAGCTACTGTAATCAAGGCAGAAGACCTTACTTAAAATTTTATCGTAGACCATAAGTGTACACACAGGTCACAATTAAAATGGCTAATTGTTCTTGCTAGTTATATAAAGAAGCAGCTAGGATAGACAAAAGAGGGCCGAGTCTGTATTTTATCAGAAACTCTACACTGAAGCTAACAGTTTCTACTCTGACTTGTATGTTCACTAAAAGTAATTCTCTTTTCTCTATTTTAGGGAGTATTGTCATGATGGTTTTTTTATTGCAAAACTGCACTGTCCAATATGATAACCATGAGTCATGTAGCTATTAAATTAATTAAAATTTAAAATTCTGTTGCTTAATCACACTTGAACCACATGTGCTCAGAAACCACAGGGGCTAGTAGGGGGCTCCTGCGTTAGACAGCACTACTCTAGAATCACATTATCCTAGTGGAAATAAAACTTTCTGTTGGAGAAGGGCTAGGCTTCTCTGCGTTACTGGCATTCTGTGTAATGTGAGGCATTTGACTTGTTAGAAGCAGCAGAGGTCTCAGACACTTGTAGCACTGTTGCTCAGGTAGTTTCTAGAAATCCATCAGATGATACGTGGGATGACTAGACTACACTCCAGTAAGGAACCGGAACAACTCTGTATATGAAACATTTTGTGGATGCTCTTAGTTTGTTCCTTACCTACACGACCAGTGTTGTCTCCTTAACAGGAATACAGAAGAAAAAGCCCCACTCCACTTCTCTGCAAAATATATGGCTATAGTATGTGGCTCCAAAACTGTTTTTGGCCTATTTGAGATTAAGAAAATTCACAGTATGCTTGATATTGTCAAATATCACACATTTTCTCTTTATATCTAGGGCATGTGAATACAAGCTAACTTAATCATAAATACCTGGTTATTTACAGTGGAAGTCAGTGAGAATTAAAGGAATTAGCCTCAAACTATATCATTTTATAAACTCTTCAGTAAGAATAGTACTAATCACATTAGTTTAAAAACTGTTCCTCACTATATATACATGGATATATATCTGAACAATACTTTTTGTTTTTTTGTGGTTTTTTTTTTTTTTTTGAGACTGAGTCTTGCTCTGTCGCCCAGGCTGGAGTGCAGTGGTGCGATCTTGGCTCACTGCAAGCTCCACCTCCCACGTTCAAACGATTCTCCTGGCTCAGCCTCCTGAGTAGCTGGGACTACAGGTGCATACCACCACGCCTGGCTAATTTTTGTATTTTTAGTAGAGACGAGGTTTTGCCATGTTGGCTAGGCTGGTCTTCAACTCCTAACCTCAAGTGGTTCGCCCACCTTGGCTTCCTAAAGTGCTGGGATTACAGGCATGAGCCACCGCACCCAGCCTGAACAGTACTTTCTGATATTTAACAAAACTTAGTAAATCCAGATGATCTTTGGCTAGAAGACTCAGAGACACTAGTTTGTTTAGGCTTCTTTCCTTCCTTCCTTCTGTGTTGTTTCCCTCATTCTGAGGTGGTTCTGTATGTGGTTCTTACTGACTTTCGTAACATTTCAGTTATGACTTATCCCAGAATACTTGAATACCAAGCAGAGTCTCAATTCTTGAGCCCATCCAGGAGGAGAGTGCATGACACAGCTTATAGATGGCCGATTATTCTCCAAACAACAAAAGTGGCAAGTGGCATCCGCCTTGCATCCCAGGGAGTATTGTCCTTGGCACAGAATCCTTGAACTCTGATGTGATTGGTGTTAGCTTCAGGGGGCCCAGACCATCCTAAGTAATTTAGGGTTTGGCCGGAAAAGCGTTTCCTGTAATATCAGCTGGCTTTTGTTTGAATCCTCAGGCTTGATTTTTATTTAAGAGCTTACTGTTGGCTTTAAAAAGTCCATGACAGGGTCTGGTACCTCCTCATTGTGTTTTTGTTGACCACCCTTATCAATTAAGGGCACTTCTCTTGGACATCCAGAATGTCATGGACTTCACTTGACTCATAGACCTTTCTTTATTTACTGGAAATGGAGACTTGTGATTACCTAGTAAGTCTTCTACATGTTTTGAGTCCACTTGACAAGAACTACTTGTGTACTTTTTGGATTTGTAATTGTTAAGCTTAGTTTTCCTTTAAAAAGCAAAAGTCATGGTGAGAAAGACCCATCTTAAATAACTTAAATAACTTGAAGTTAACTAAAAATATGCATATTGCAAAAGGCATTAAATAACCCCAGTTCTGAAACCTGACAAAGATACCATGAAAAAGAAAATATAGCTTGATCTCACTTATAGATCGAAAAATTCTAAATAAAGTGTTAGCAAATACAACTCAGTAGTGTACTAAAACAATAATATACAGAGATCAAATAGGACTGATTTAATACTAGAAATATAATTAGGTGAAAACAAATGAAAATGCTCTAATAGGCCAAATGCCTGGGCATAGTGGCTTATGCCTGTAATCCCAGCACTTTGGAAGGCTAAGATGGGAGCATTGCTTGATCCCAGGAGTTTGAGACCAGCCTGGGCAACATAGTGAGACCCTGTCTGTACCAAACAAAAATAAGAAGGCCAGGCATGGTGGCTCACGCCTGTAATCCCCGCACTTTCGGAGGCCGAGGCAGGCTGATCATGAGGTCAGGAGATTGAGACCATCCTGGCCAACATGGTGAAACCCTGTCTCTACTAAAAATACAAAAATTAGCTGGACGTGGTGGCAAGTGCCTGTAATCCCAGCTACTCCTTCAGGAGGCTGACGCAGCAGAATAGCTTGAACCACGGAGTCAGAGCTTGCAGTGAGCCGAGATCGTGCCACCGCACTCCAGTCTGGTGACAGAGTGAGACTCTGTCTCTAAATAAGAAAAATTAATTGGGCATGGTGGTATATGCCTATAATCCCAGCTTCTTGAGAGGCTTAGGCAAGGAGGATCACTTGAGCCCAGGAGTTGGAGGCTGCATTGAGCCTTCACTGCTCCTGTGCTTTAGGCTTGGGTGAGAGAGTGAGACCCCGTCTCCAAAAAAAAAAAAAACCAAAAATGTCCAAATAAGATACCGATAAAATCCCAAATCCATTACTGATTAAAAGGAGAATAAAGGGGTGGGCGCAGTGTAGTCCCAGCACTTTGGGAGGCCAAGGCGGGTGGATCACTTGAGGCTAGGAGTTCAAGACCAGCCCTGACCAATGTGGAGAAACCCCATCTCTACTAAAAATACAAAAATTAGCCACGTATGGTGGCATGTGCCTGTAGTCCCAGCTCCTCGGGAGGCCGAGGCAGAATAATGGCTTGAACCCGGGAGGCAGAGGTTGCAGAGAGCCGAGATCGTGCCACTGCACTCCAGCCTCGACAACACAGTGAGACTCTGTCTCAAAAACAAAGAGAAGAAAAAACTTTTATTAGGAATAGAAATGTTAACTTGATGACAATTATTAACAGCTATCAGTGATCATCACAGTTAATGGTGAAGCACTGATGATTTTCCATTAAGGCCGGAAATAAGCCAAGAGACCTACTGAAATACTGCTCAGACGTCTTCTGGAAAAACAAGGCAATAAACTAGGAAAAGAAATAAGAATAAATTATAGAAGAAGAATGACCAAATTATTAACATTTGCAGACAGACTGATTATATACCTAGAATATTTCAGGAGAATCAGTTGGAAAATTACAAGAAATATTAACTATTGTCATGGAGAGTTGAGACTGGGCAGGAGGACACCTGCTTTTCTAGAAGCCCTCAATTTAAAAAAAATCAAACACAAGTAATACTTTGATAAATATGTTCTAAACATGGAGCTAAAAAGTTTAGGCAAAAAGGCAGCTGATTTTCTGTACATAGCAGAATAATCTATTCACAGTAGCAATAAAAACTCAAAAGTACTTAATAAATTTAATAAGGAATATGCAGTACTTTAGTAAAACATTATAAAAGGACAGATAAAGCCTGAATAAAAAGAGCCACATCATATTCTTGGATGGGAAGACCCAATATTGCAGAAATGTCCATTTTCTCCCAAATTACTCCCTACATCTATTCTAATTTATTAAAAAATTCCTCTGTAAGTAGAAATTCTCAAGAGGAGTTAAAGAAGTTTTTAAAATGAAAGTAAGGTAGAAACATAGCAATGGAATAGGAAATGTCCTAGCACTACGAATTTATGGAAATTTACAATATGCCAAAGAATGTCAAATCAGTGGGACGAATAAGAAATTAGGCAATAAATGGTGTTAGTGTTAATGAAAATTAATTTGGGAAAACATTGATTTCCTCCCTGCCTCATATCCTTTCCCTAATTTGAGGTTTCAGTATTTAAATATGAAACATAAAACCACAGGACACTGTAGGAAAGCATCTTTATGATCTTGTCATAGGGGAAATCTAAGCCAGAACCTATAATGGGAAATGCTTCATAAATTTAATTGAGCAATGGTAAAAGACCATAGACAAAGTGGAAAAGAGATGATAAACTTGAGACAAATATTTGGACGTATATGAAAAAGGTGACTTAGGCAGAGTACATGAGTAAGATATAAATGATCATTAT